GCTTATATATTTTGGAGATCAAGCCTTTGTCGGTTTCACTTGCAAAAATTTTCTCCCATTCCGTAGGTTTTCTTCTTGTTTTATTTCTGGTTTCCTTTGCTCTGCAGAAGCTTGTAAGTTTCACTAGGTCCCATTTGTTTGGGGACTACAGTTTTTATATATGTTCCAGGTTACAGAACTGGAATCAGTGGGAATTTACAGAGAAACATATTTGAGTTTAATATTAGGAACTTTCCAACCATGAGAGAGCTTTTTTGGAAATGTAATGGTCTGCCTTTGAAAATCTTTCAAAGACTTTCTCATCAGAGCCATTTAAACTGAGGATGTACAAATATTTGTTGGGAATACTGTAGAGAGAATTCAAGCATCAGAAGGGATGGTGGAATCTTTGAGGCTTTTCACAGTTGTGAAGTTTTGAAAGTCTCTGGTTATATGATCCATCAGGACAGAGAACTGAAACAGTGTAAAAAGCCCCTGTGCTCTTTTCCTGACTCTGCCATTGGTTTGCTGTGAGCCCTTAGGCTAGCCATTCTTCTGTCTCAAACCCTGTTTTTCTTGTGTTTCAAAATGGAGGGACTTGGATTAGAAGAGCACACGTGTGTTTTGCATTCAACAGTTATTACTGTGTGGTGCTAGTAGTGTTGTTCTATTCCCCTCAGACCCTCTACATTTACTAATTGGAATCTTCCGTAAGAAACCATCGTCAGTTCTTTCTCGCTTGTTTACTAAGTTATTTACTTATATCAGTACAGACTCATGGATATTTATTTTATTTTTTAGATTATAATCCACTATTTATTTTGTTGCTCAAATTGTTCCAGCTTTAGCTAGTGAAAGACCTGAATTTAGATGTTACAGAGTACAAAAAGTTTGTTGATACGGTTTCAGATTCCACACAACAATTAATCTTTAAAAACTTACCACTTGCTGAGTTTGGCATAGGACCTGAAAACAATAACCACGATTATCTGAAAAGGCTATTAAGTATTCCTGCCTTCCCCAGCACATACCTGTGTGGCTAGATTATATTCATGAACTTCCACAAAAATAACATTTTAAAAAATTGAAGTATAGTCACTTTACAATGTTGTGGCAATTTCTGGTGTACAGCATAATGTTTCAATCATACATATACATGCATATATTTGTTTTCATATTCTTTTTCATTATAGATTACTACAAGATGTGGAATATAGTTTCTTGGGCGATAGAGTAGAAACTTATTGTTTATCTATTTTATGCATATAAATTAATTAATATTTGTAAACCTTGAACTCCTAATTTATCCCTTCCCATTCCTTCCCTCTCTGGTAACCATAAGGTTGTTTTCTATGTCTATTGAGTCTGTTTCTGTTTTGTAAATAAGTTCATTTGTGTCTTTTTTTTTGTAGGATTCCACATATAAGTGATATCATATGGTATTTTTCTTTCTCTTTCTGACTTACTTCACTTAGAATGATGATCTCCAGGTCCATCCATGTTGCTGCAAATGGCATCATTTTATTCTTTTTTATGGCTATGTAGTATTCTATCATATATGTATGTATACACCATAACTTCTTTATCCAGTCATCTGTCAATGAACATTTAGGTTGTTTCCACATCTTGGTTATTGTAAATAGCATTGCTATGAACATTGGGTATCTATCTTTGTGTATTAGAGTTCCCTCCAGATATAAAACAACATATTGAATGCCGAAGCAGGTATGAGAATCTAGCCATCTTCTATTAAGCCAGACATTAAAGAATTTGTAAAAATATAAACATTACTCTTCTCACTAATTTTTTTTATTTTTCAAAATATGTTATTCATTTTTACATGTAATGAGTTTCTTATTTTAAAATTATTGTATTTAATTAATTAATATATGTATTAAAAATTTCTTTTAAGTTTTTGTTTGGTATATATCGATAGATATAACCCACAAAAACCAAACTTCTTTGGTTTCTCGTGAATTTTAAGAATTTAAAGGAGTCTTAACACCAAAATGTTTGAGAACTACCCTTCTAGGCTATTTTTAGATGATAATTTCATCTCTTTTTCTTCTTTTAAATAGTTTTTCCTTCTATTTTATTTATTTATTAAAATTTTTGTATAATTTCCTGTGCTATACAGTATATCCTTGTTGCTTATCTATTTTCTGTATAGGAGTTTGTATCTGTTAATCCCATACTCCTAATTTGTCCCTCCCTCCTGCCCTGTCCCCTTTGGTAACCACACGTTTGTTTTCTACACCTGTGAGTCTATTTCTTTTTCATATATACATTCATTTGTATTATTTTTTTAGATTCCATATGTAAGTGATGTCATATAGTATTTGTCTTTCTCTGACTTATTTCATTAAGTGTAATATTCTCTCAGTTCATCTATGTTGCTGCAAATGGCAGTATTTCATTCTTTCTTACGGCTGAGCAATATTCCATTGTGTGTATGTGTATGTATATGTGTGTGTGTATCATATCTTCTTAATTCAGTTGTCTGTTAATGGACATTTAGGTTGCTTCTATGTCTTGACTGTTATAAATAATGCAGCTCTGAACACTGGGGTGCATATCTTTTTGGATTAGTGTTTTTGTTTTTTCTGGATATGTACCCAGGAGTCAAGTGACAGTTCTATTTTTGGTTTTTTAAGGAGTCTCCATACCGTTTTCCAGTGACTGCACTAATTTACATTCCCACCAGTGTACAAGGGTTCCCTTTTCTCCATATCCTCTCCAGCATTTGTTATTTGTAGACTTTTTGATGATAACCTTTCTGACAGGTGTGAGGTAATACCTCATTGTGGTTTTGATTTGCATTTCTCTAATAATTAATGACGGATTATTTCAGCTCTTTTTCTACTCACTTATGAACAGTCAACTTCAGTGGTTATCTGTGGAAAATTTTCTATCTTTCTCTGAACCTGTCATTGTGTATTGAAAAGAATGTACAAATACACAGTAATTCTAATACTAGCCTATGTCTTAACATCTACCAGTTAGTTTCAAAGTAAAATAGTATATAAACAGTCACCATCAGAAGTTGTCTTTAGCACAGGACCTGACATATAGGTGATCAATAAATATTTGTTGATTGAATGAGTAAATATTGACATTTATTGTTCTGTCTCTAAAAATCCAGGTTAGCAATGAAATTGAGAATGTGATAGAAGAATCCACAAAACCAGCAGCTGAGCAGGTTGCAGAATTCAGTATCCACCTTTTGGGAGAGCAATACAAGAAAGAACTACAGGATCCCTCCAGCTTCTACCACCAGCGCCTTGCGGAAGAGTTTATTTCAGAGGTGATTTTTTTGGTATACAAGATAGTTTGCTGGGGTTGTAGTTTTCCCATATTCACAACACTGGTTAAACATAGGTTTAGAATTCAAACTCTCCACCTACTTGGTTCAGGGAGTGGTGACTTAGTCATTTCTTCAGAAAATGCTGTGAAAAGTTCACAGAAAGACAGATGAATTATTTCAATGAAACAAAATTTTGTACGCATTTGCCATTTACTAACAAATAAATGCTATTTCCAGTGTTTGCTGCACAGCCAAGGAAGAATGTGTTCCATGGCATGGTTTTAACTTGACAATATTTGGAGAAATGAGCATCTTTGAGAAACTATATACAGTGTATCATTTTTCTTGAGGGAACATTAAACTTAATTTCTTTTTAATTTATAGTTGTTATTCTTTTAAATTGAAAATTTTTGACCAGTTAATACATAGATGGTACGTGATACCACGTTCAAAGGACAAAAGGACATCCAATGAAAAGTAAATTTCCCTCTTATCTCTGATTGGAAGTATTTTAAAAAAGAGGTTTCTTTAAAGAATTGTACTGTAGCCCATCCCACAACTTTAGTTTCTGTAAGAATTCTATATAGGAGTTGAACTCAAGATTCTTTCCATCAGAAATGACCCATTCTTGGCCCTCTTCTTGTGTGATTTTGCTCTTGTGTAGACAGTAGGGCATTGAGTGCCCATCTCCCCTCTCTGCCCGGTAAGAGTGCACATCATTCCTTCCTGTTTATTTCTTTTCCATCCCTCTTGATGGGGTTCTCCTTGGCCAAGTTTTTTAATTCCATTACCTTGGACTAATTTCTTCCTCTAGACACTGTGTCTAGATGAGAAATAAAAATGTGCATCTTTCAGCCAAAGAGCATCATTGCAGCCATCAGACATGGGGAGTGTAGGCCAGATGATTGATTTTCCTAGCTGTGTGGCCAAGTTGTGAGTCTGGGTGGTATGTGGAAGAAATGTTAGCCAGGCCAGTGGCCACCTGGCATCAGATAGTGTCTTGGATCAGCTGTTTGGTTCTTTCTGCCCTTGGATTAAGGAACTTTTAATAAACCTCTGTGTTTGGGTAAACAATTGCTCAGAATGACTGCACATTTGGAGAAAGTCTAATAAACACTCTGAAAAACATTTCCAGTAGGGACTTTATGAGGTAGGTAGCTATTGGCTTGAAGTTATTTGAGGGCGGCGAAGGGTCTGGGCCTACACGAAACAATTCCTTCTCTGGCCTGTTTCTACATCCCCATCCCTTTACCCAGAATAAAATGTCTCCCAGTAACCACTTCTCTGTGCGAAACTGCAGAGTCAGGGTCATGTCTACGAAGGTCCTGTCGCATGTTTACTGCAAACTGAAGGAGGCCATTTAGCTCCCTTCCTGCAGGACACAGTCACAGGGATTGTTCCTTCTATACTATTTCTTAGCAAATACAGGAAGATACCCAGGGGAAAAGGAAGCCTGCTTGGAAAGGATTGAGGTGTAGGGGTGGTTACTCTTTTTTTATGAGAAGAGTAAGATAAACTTGGGACAACACTAAGAATGACATCAGGGCAGGAAAGGTCATTGTGATAGGCTTGGGCGTGTGGATACCTGAAGACAGCCATGGTATCAACACAGCATCCTTGCATAGTGCTCTGTGTTCTGCAGGCTGCTGTATGTTGGTTTGCTAACAGCAGTCATGTGGGCGAGCATCTCCATTTTATAGATGAAGCCCAGGAGGGTAAGTAACTTGTTCATTGTTATTTCAGCTTCTAGGAGTACAAGGGAAAATGAGGTTTCCTTCCTTTGAAGTGTTCCTTCCTTTATATCATACAGCATTCCCTTCATTCTAATTCAGGTGAGAAGTTGTGGTGAGCCTCACAGTTTTCCCAGTCCTGGCCCCAATTTTAAACTATATTTATCATGAGTCAAAGGAAAGAGAATGAGACATGTAATTCTGTGGGAAGCATTTGGGTGTCAGTGTTAGAAAGATTGGAAATTAAATAAATTCTGATTCAGTCACTCACCAAATGCATAATCCTGGGCAAGTTAGTTGACGTCTCAGAGCCTCAGTTTTCTCAACTGTAGAACTGGGAATATATATACCTCTTGGGAGTGTTGAAAGGACTAGAAGTAATATTTCAAAGCACTAGTCACAGAGCAGTCACTCAATAAATTGCACCTATTATTAATCTTGATGTTAATAAAGTGGATGACTTCTTACAACTGGACACCTGTAGCTAACTGGGGGTGATGGATTAGAATACCTATATGGTGCTTAGAATCAAGAGATGGCAAAGCCCCAGATGAGATGGGTTTAGTGTTAATAATGAGATGCAGTTGTACAGTATTTTGCAGTTAATGGAGTACTATCAGCTACATTCATTTTTATCTTACAAAAACTGATGTGGTCATTGGGCAGGGCAGCACTAGTGCTATGAAAGGAGACTTGTGCATGGCCACCCTGCTAGCTAAAAGAGCTGGGACTGACCCTCACTCTTTGGATTCCCAGTCCTGTGAATTCTTTCCCTAACCCCACCCTCCAAGAATTATAGCACTTCTCTCTTTTCTCTCTGAGAATAAAACAAGGTGAATTCTTACAGCCAAAAAGTATCACAGGTTTGGATTCTCTATCCAAAGGCATGAAGATCTTCAGTGAACCAAGATTTTTGAAAAATCCCATTCTCCTGATTATATATAAGGACTTAGTTTTAAAAGCAGGTACCCAGAAGGGGAGGATATAGCTCAGTGGTAGAGTGTATGCTTAGCATACACAAGGTCCTGGGTTCAATCCTCAGTACCTCCATTAAATGTAGGTAAATAAACCTAATTACCCTCCCCCTCAAAAAAGCAAAAATGAAACAAAACCAAACACCAAAAAAAAAAAAAAAAAAGCAGGTACCCAGAAATGTCCCCAAGTCCACTAACAACTTACTTCTCTTGTTGTAGTGTTAGCCCTGTAGTGACTTATCTGGTCACCTTCTGAAATGTGGATTAAATGTTCAATTTTGTTAAATATGTTTTTGTGTATAACCTGATTTTTTTTTAGGTATTTAGTCCAATCTAGGATTTTTTTCTCCTCTAGTCACTAAGGTTATATTGATTCATGTGGCTAGATTTTAAAGATTCAGTAATAAAACTGGTTCCTACAATTGTGATGCTCATAGTTGAGCTTTTGACCAGTGAAGTTACCCAGTGACTGCTTCATAACCCTCTTTGTGACGATCAGTCATCAAGGCCTAAAGCCCAGGTCTGCAGGTTTCTTTCTTACGTTAACTGTGTTCATAGTCCCTTGTGTTGTAGGAATAGGAAACAGATGCCACCAGACACTTTACACTTACCGGAAATGAACACTTCACTGTGTGTCAGTGTGTGTGCTATGATCAGATTTCTAATCCATACAATTTCATTTGAAAATGTTATTACTTTTTTTTTTTGGAAACTAGTCCTTTTTTCATATTGCATCACATTAAGGAAAAAATAGTGCTTTGCCAATAAAAGTATGCTTTTTATAATTTGGAAAAAAACCAATATTAAAGCACATCAGGGGAGGGTTTGGCTCAGTGGTAGAGTGCCTGCTTAGCATGCACAGGGTCCTGGGTTCAATCTCCAGTACCTCCACTGAGAAAGAAAGAAACCTAATTACTGTCTCCCAAATAAAGCACATCAACACCTTAAAAAAAACAAAACAACAAAATGAAAACAGACAAATGTGGCCATGTTGTGGTGAAAACTATTTTCTAACATAGTAACTATTATAATTTTCTTAACTTTCTGACCCATATATATCCATGTATGTGTACAAGCTTCTAATAGTTGTAAATAGTGCACTTTATGTTCTACTCTGGAAAGCATTTTTTTCTTTGTACTTTTTTACATTTCTACATAGTTATAAAATTTTTTTTAACAGGTTGAAAATGCATTTACTGGGTTACCAGGCTACAAGGACATTCGTGTACTTGACTTTAGGTAAATAGACTTTAAAAATGCACTTGTTTTGCAAAATTCTTTATTTCAAATGGAATATCTTTTGTGTTTATTATATAACCACTAACTACAATGATTCAAAATGATGTGAATGCTGTAATTCAGTGCTATTTTGTTAAGTTCATATTCTTAATCCTAGTTTTTCAGATGAGGAAACTGAGTTAGAAAAAGGTAAAATAATATATTCAGGGAGACACTCTAGATTTGTAGTTACGCCAGGGTAAAAACTTAGGAATTCATGTCCCCAGCTTGCTGCTGCTAAGTTACACTGCTTTAATTTGGCACTGAGGGGAGCCTAAAATCAGATTAGATGTGACCTCAGCAAGCTACTAAAGTTTGTCAGTGCTCTACTGAGTTGACTTTGACGTCTTGGTGTAAGACCACTCTGGAGGGAAGGCAGTCATCAACATAACAGTTCCGGCTAAATTAGACACATCTTTTAAAGCTATCTCTTCCTTGCTTAAGACTCACAGTGTAATAACTTGTGAGTATTTATGGAGCGAATACTTTGTACTGGCCACTTCACATTCCTGACCTCATATAATCTTCAACCTTCCCAGCAGAAATAGTAGTAGTAGTACTTACTTTGCTGAGGAACACATAGATTTAAAAGGATGAAGTATTAAGCCCAAGGTCAGAGCATTCGTGAATTAGAGTGGAAGAGGGATTTTGAAACAAAGTGGCTGACTTTATAGTTTTCTCTCTTAACCCTCATGCTAGACTCAGTACTCAGAACTTATGAGTGACGGCTGTGGCCCATCTTTCGGATGCAGGGGAGCATGAGTGGGGACATGTAACCTCACGGCAAAATTAACAGTGTCAACCTTTTAACTTAGGCATAGCCTTGTCACAACTTCTGGGTTTACCAGAAATAATAGCAAGCACTTACTTAGCGTTTACAGCGTGCCAGACTTCCTATGTATATTAACTCATTTAATCCCAACAGCCATGTTAAGAGATACTTACTATTATCCTCATTTTTTCTGATCAGAAAACCGGAGCACAGGGAATTTAAATACTTTATATTTATCTAAGGACACTCAGCTAGTTATTGGTGCAGGGGAGAGGGCCAGGATGGTAAATTGACCCTCCACCTACCCTCACACCATGACCAGTCTCCCCAGTTCAACCTGAGCACTTTTCACAGAATATTGCCTCCCTGTTGTGACTAAAGCTCACATGAGAACCTGAGAATGTGAGGCCTTTATTAAAAAATACTTCTGGAATACTTTGGGTAAATTATTTATTTATTTATTTTTGTTTCTCATTTTCTTTACCTGTAATATGGGGATGCTAATGGTCCTTAAAAAGTTTTCATGAGGATTGTATAAATTAATTCTTATAAAATGCTTAGCACAGTTCCTGGCATTTGGGAAGTTCTATTAAGTGTCTGTTATGTAAAATAAATAATATTAAAGGCTATGCAGTAACCTATGGATTAGCCAGTCCTGACCTTTCCTTATCCGTGGGACCTTACTGTGTACCATCTGATTTTCTCTTCTCTTCTCTTCTCTTCTCTTCTCTTCTCTTCTCTTCTCTTCTCTTCTCTTCTCCTTCCTTCCTTCCTTCCTTCCTTCCTTCCTTCTTTCTTTCTTTCTTTCTTTCTTTCTTTCTTTCTTTCTTTCTTTCTTTCTTTCTTTCTTTTTTCGTTCTCTCTCTTTCTTTCTTTCTTTCTTTCTTTCTTTCTTTCTTTCTTTCTTTCTTTCTTTCCTTCCTTCCTTCCTTCCTTCCTTCCTTCCTTCCTTCCTTCCTTCCTTCCTTCTTTCATTTTATTGAAGTATAGCAAATTATAATGTGTCAATTTCTCATGCACAGCACAATGTCCCAGTCATGCATATACATATATATATATTCATTTTTATATTCTTTTTCATTAAAGGTTATTACAAGATATTGACCATAGTTCCCTGTGCTAAAGAAACTTCTTCCCTTTTCATTTATTTTAATACCACAGAACACATTGTATCCCCCCAAAAGTGTTCCCAATTTTGTTAATGCCAACAACTGGAGTCTTCTGCTGTTCTACTGAAAAAAGTTTATTTATAAAGAGATAACCATATATTAATTGTTTAGAAGTATTTTTTAACAAAGTTTAAAGACAGTAAAGACTATTGATTTTAAAATAGAACACTTTCTCCACTTTTGCTCACTTCCTTCAATGTACAGAAATTTGTCATTATCTGGTACTATACAAGCATTTTTATTTAAGGAAACATTTCAGAGGAAATATGTTAAGAACATGCACTTTGATGAGTTATATGACAATTATAACTATCCTAAACTCTGTTTAACACTTTCAATTTTTATTTTCAGGTCCCCTAAGGAAAATGGCAGGTAGAGTACTTTTTGGTACTTTCTATACTGTTCACTGAATGAAGAGGTAGTTTAGAAAATATGGTAGCCTTCAGTCAAAGGGAGCATGCCTCAGTTCCTTTGTCATTGCCAGTATCACTGTCCATCTCCTTACAGATCAGGAGTCGGCAAACCTTTTCTATTAAGAGTTGGATAGCAAATATTTTAAACAATTTTTACATCATGCAATCTCTGTGGCATCTATTCAACTCTGTCACTATCAAATGAAAGTAGATATAAGCAATACATTGAAAACATTTATTGTATTCTAATAAAACTTATTTATGGACCCTGAAATCTGAATTTCATATAATTTTCATATATCACAAAATATTGTTGTTTTGATTTTTTCAAACATTTAAGAATATAAAATCCATTAACTCATGGACAGCAGGCTAACTTTAGCTCACAAGCTATAGTTTACAGACTCCTCTCATACACTACTGACTGACAAATAGTTTTCATTTTATTTTTATTTTTAAATTTTAGTTTTTTTACTGAGGTATAGTTGATTTACAATATTATGTAAGTTTCAGATGTACAACATAACAATTCACTATTTTTAAAGGTTATACTCCATTTATAATTATTATAAAATATTGGCTATATTCTTTGTATAATATAATCTGACAAATACTTTAAAATATTGAGTTACACTTAATTTAAAATTGGAATGAAATTGACATTAATGTAAACACTTTCAAGTATACTGTTATCATTCAGTGGTATAATCAAATATCACTTGTAGTGGTAAATAAAGGGGAGAAAGCTGATCTCTATCATAGTTCATTTGCAAAAACAGCTGCTTTCTGGAATTTCTTAGAAGCATAATATAAAAACATAGTCAGTCCCCCTTTTTGAAGGTATTTTTGCCTTTGAATTCAAGTTTATTTAAAATTGACTTTCTCTTGGAGGATTGATAAGCATAATATAGAATTTATGAAGTAAATTCATAGGGTAACTGTTTCTATATTTAGAGATACAGTAATACTCCTTCATCGTAATATATTTTCTTTTAAAAATATTTTTATTTTTAATTGAAGTATAGCAGATTTACAATATTATACTAGTTTCAGTTGTATAATAAAGTGATTCAGTACTTTTATAGATTATACTCTGTCTAAAGTTATTATAAAATATTAGCTATATTCCCAGTACTGTGCAATATACCCTTGTAGCTTATTTATTTTGTACGTAGTAGCTTGTATTTCCTAGTCCCTACCCATATTTTGCCCCTCCCCTCCCCTTCCCACTAGTAACCACTAGTTTGTTTTCTATATCTGTGAGTCTGTTTCTGTTTTGTTATATTCGTTTTTTTTTTTAGATTCCATATGTAAGTGATAACTTACAGTATTTGTCTTTTTCTGTCTGATTTGTTTCACTAAGTGTAATACCTTCAGGTCCATCCATGTTGTTTTGCCTTCATTTATATAAGATATAAATATAATATCTTATATTTGTAAAGGGCTTTCTGACTTCTTCATTTTCACTTATATTATTTTAGCAAGTATTTACTAAGCATCTGCAATTGGGCAAACCCTGCACCTGTAAAAATGAATAATACTTGGGCTCCAGCCTCTAGGAACACATGGTCTAATTAAGAGTGCTTTCAGAGATATGTCAAAGTACTGGTTCTTTTATTTATTTATTTTTGCTTTATTTCCTTATGTCCCTGTGAGATAGTGAAAATGAGAGTTAATATTCATTCTCCCTTTAGAGGTGAGGAAATTTTGTCTTAGAGAGGCACATTGATTTGCCATAAGTTGTATGACTTGAAGGTATGAGATATTTACCCAAGCTAATCAGAATTTGGGTGTCTGTACTCTTACTATAGGCAGACTGCTCTTTGTGTATGTATTATAGGTATATGTGTTGATTGTTAGTATTCAATCAAAAGGCCTGATTGTTTAATTGCTGCCCTTATTAGAATGTTAAAACAATCCAAACTCTAATGTTAACCTTATGATCAAAGAATGGTATTCAGTTGCTGAGTGCTAAGTTCTCTATAGCGGCACAGATAGCAATTCAATATGAAGTCATTAGATTTTATGATAGAATTGTTTACCTAGGTACAGTTTTTAAAATTGTTCAGTGTTGTCAGATAGTGACCAGTTGATGGAGTTTACTTATAACTTTTTGGCATACTTTTATTCTGAGCTGTGTATGAATGAATGTGTGGCACAGAAATAGTCTATAGTATATAACCTTTCTCTCTCTCCACAAAATTTATATGCACGTGAAATTTTCTGTTTGCTTGTACTTCTTTCAAGATGCACACATTAATTAAGTTAGTAGGACCTATTTGAAGTGAATCAACAAAATATCTGCCTGGTATACACATTTCAAAACTTCAACTCCAGGCTTTGTAAGTATGTACCTTCTTCCTAATAGAAGTGTGAGAGAAGAAGGGATATCTGAGTTCCTCTGAAATACCTTTAATTTGATTGATCTAAATGAGATGTAATGTCATAATTTATTTCTACTTAAAATCTGCTCATATCAAACAGCCAATCAGGGCGTTGGAGGTGAGAGAATAGGAAATGGTAAATTTCACCTCCACAAGATTGGTGTCTTTGGAAGTAGCTGTCGGACAGAGAAGCTTTCCTCTATGTAGCAGTTGTTTCAGTGTCATTTAGAAGACGTAGGATGATGATATATTGGTGGTTGGTTAATCTGGGGTTGCTGAGTGCAGTAAGCCAGCACAGCTTTCTTCAGTCAGATCATGTCTGGTCACCAGTGTGCATTCTGCTTCTTATGTGCTTCCTTGTTCTGCTGGCTTTCCTTTATTCTATTCCTCATCTTGAGATGTCCCCATTTGCCATGCCAGAACTTAGTCTGTTATGCTGAAATTCTTCAATCTCAGAATAGGTGGTTTTCTGATACTTCACGCATTTCTTTGAATTCTCTTTCCAGGACAAAAACTTGGTAGTAAATTGCAGTATCTCTCTGAGGCATTTTATCTTCTTTGATGAATTTATCCTCACTTGACAGGTAGATTATATGAGAAGTATTATTTTTAGATGTCCAAGAGAAACATTGGAAGACAAATTATATTTTGCCAATAAAGAACAAGGCCAGAAATCTAACCCAGACTGCCGGGTTTGCACAGATTTCTTGATCCAGGAACTTCTCTTGGTCTTCTCCCTGTGACATTTAAAAGCATGCAAAGCACATGGTAGGCTTTCAGTAAAGACTTGATCTCTTTGTCTGATTTTCTTCACAGCCTGGGAACCAACTCAAGTGCTAACTGGCACAGCCTTTTCTTCTTCTCTCTCTCTTTTTTCTCTCCCTTATCACTGCTTCCTGTCTTAGAGCCATGTTAACACCTTAATAGACTGGGCAAAAACCCCAAGGAGAAGCTGGTCTTTCTGGAGATGTTGACATGGTCCACTCCACAGAGCTTGGGAAGAGCATGCACATGCCCACAGAGTTGGGTTGTGGCTGTCTAGGAGTGTCCCTAAAATGATTACTCAGAGGACACAAATGTCTGAAGGTTATATGCATGCTCTTTAGGGTGAAAAATTAATCTTTCATATTTAGAGACGAAAACCCCTTCAGATTAAGTCAGGAGTATCACATACTGTCATTAAGTGGCACGAATTCAATGGTCTTACCTACCTGCACTAGTGAATAAGTTGAACATTTGTTTTTCATTATTTTCAGAAGTATGTATTAAACTACTGTGAGCCAGGCATTGTGCTAGATGCCTGGGACACATGTGGTATGGTGAGTTCTGACCAGTAGGTGTCCCTCTTACTGTTTTATTTCACTGTGGGGCCATCATTTGGTTACTTTAGCATTTTTTACTGAATTGATTTCTTTACAAAAGAAGATCAAAATTACCCACGAATCATCATATTCTGAAATGAAAAATTACGGGATTGAGGGAACTTCTGGACAATGGACAAGCAGATGTCTTGCCAGTTAGTAGAGCATCAGGGTGTCAAAATGCTCAATTACCACTTTAAAGCTCCCTAAACCACTTTGTTGGAAGTGGCAGCTTATCTGGGAGGAAAACCTTATTGAAGTTCCTCAGAGTGAGACAGAAGCATCGTGCCTGGCTGCTTGTATGGCAGATGAGGGATAATGCCGGCATTGCATCCCCTGTAGACTAGGGTGTGATCTGCAGCAAACAGGCCCAGGGCAGGTCCAGAACTGCCGGTGCTTCCAGGAAGGAGAGGTCACTAAAGACCGATTCATGCTTACCAAACCACGAAGTACAATGCATTCCCTAGGATGCAAGTTGATCTATTTAAAGCAAGAACTATGTCTGCCAACTGACCAATTAGTGCATTGGCTAGCTTATGCATTCTTTCCCCATCGACAGTCTGTAGGGAGTTACAATCAAAAGTTCCTTTTGCAGGCTTGAGATCAGAGAAGGGAAGTTGGGAGATCATCAAACCAGGTTAACCTATTGTAGCTGACTCTAACCTAGGAATCTGTGTTATAAGGAAGCCACAATACACTGATCAGAAGACTTACACTAAACAGTAACATAAATTAATTGACTAACCCTTTTTCTAGACTCCATGAGACCATACTCATTATGCTGATACTGTTTTCTTTTTTTCAGATATGTGAATACCTTGAATAGGCTACAGTTTTCTCTTTGCATTCAGACAAGTATAGATTTCTGTTACTTGAATAGGCATTGGGTACCTGTTAGTGCCAGGGACCAAGCCAAACACTGGAGACAGAAACTCAAGGAGAGACTACAAAGCAGTCACTATAAGCAAAATCTTTTTACAAAACAACAAAGGCTGTAATCAAGGAATATATAAGTGAGCTCAGAGGAAGGAGTGCTGAATTTATTTGTATGCTTTGCTTTGGGCATCATTTTGCTCCTGTAGGATGTCTGAAGGTTGCAGATTGTTTCCGCTGCACATTGATTTTAGTGGCTTATCTTTGGGAAAGTGGTTTTCTTTCCTCTACAGGGATCTTGGTGTGGCTGGCTGGGCGCTACCTCTGATGGCTGTGTCTCATAGACCGGCTGGGAGCCAGGGTGATGATTTGAGCAAAGCCATTCTCATAATGATTTTTTTCTGATAATAGTTTAATTAAAGGTACTGAGAGTAGTTCAGAATGCCATGCTGGAGTCAGGCAGATCTGTGTGTGAATCTTTACCCTCTAAATATTGTGAAATATTAGGCAGGTCTTTTGACTTCTTTAAAGCTCAGTTTCTTAACAATAATCTGAAGCTAATAAAACCTTCATATGGTTATTATGAAAATTAAATGAGATAAAGCATGTGAAATACCTGTCACATTGTAAGCACTTACAAAAATGTTAGCTTTTAGCTGTTAGGGAAATCCGAGTTAGAATGTAGAAGAAGTCCTATTGGCTAAACAATCTTATATTCCAATGTTATTTCTTCAAAATGACTATTATCAAATGACACATCAACTCCTACCGTTTCACTTTATCCTTTTATTGCAAGAAATCTTCTCTTTGCTTGTGGGAAGAGAGAGAGTGAAAATCAGGCCCCATTCCCAGACAGAGTTACTTCTTAGCACTTGTCAAAGTCTTATTCAACTCATCAGTGAGGGAGCCAGCAAGAAAATGAGAGCTAGTTTCTACAGCGTTTGAAAGAAATTTATATAGTTAATTGGGACAGGTTTGCTAAATTAGAGACAACATTGCTTAATGCCTTACAGGATAGTAAAATCATAAACTGTGGAGTTATCACTCTTACCAGGCCAAAAATCACATCACATCTTAGTAGTTCTTTTACAATTCAGTATTAAACTTTATAGGACTGTAAATTGTCTGGGCTGTCAAACAAAAGTACCTCTCCTGAGAGACTTAGATAACTATCATATTAGAAAATATTCTAGGGTGATATTTTAAAAACTCACTAATCATCAGTTTGCTTTATTTCCGAATATTTCGTATTTTCTTTTCACAATAAATAACTATGTTTTAGTGCATAGTAATTAAACTTTTTCATTGCTTCACTCCCTGTACATAATTCATCCAGCAACAATAATAAAGAGATGCGAGAGGATTTCCCATTGTTGGAGTTAGAAGGCTTGGTTTTGTTTTGTTTTGTTTTGTTTTGTTTTTAAATAGGGAGAGGAGGAAGCAGGTTGATAGTGAAAAGGAGCAGTTGGTTTTGAAGGAGGAAGGAAGGGGTGAGAATGTTGGGGAGGAAGATGCTCGGCATTCTGCAGGGTTGACTCTGTGGCCTCCTTGGAACTCTTTCCATGTTCTTAGAGTTATGACCCTCTGTTCTCTGAGAAGAAGGGGATGGCCAGAGTTTACCCCGAGTCTGCAGAGAATGGTGATGGAATTTTGCTTTTTGAGACTCCTGAGGTCGAATATTTGGGTTCAAAGCACCATTCTTTGTGTTTCCTTAAAAGGACCTGATCTGTTTTCCCTTTTCATCCATAGTGGAGTAGATGTTCACTATGCAGTTACCTTCAATGGCGAGGCCATCAGCAATACCACCTGGGACCTAATTAGCCTTCACTCCAACAAGGTGGAGAACCATGGTCTTGTGGGACTGGATGACAAACCCACTGCTGTCTACACAATTAGTAACTTCAGGGATTACATTGCTGAGACACTGCACCATAAGTTTTTGCTGGGGAGCTCCTCTTTGAATCCAGATCCTGACTCCCTTCAGCTTATCGATGGTAAGTTTGATGTCCATTAAGTCCTTGTATGGTTCAACTTTCTTATTAAAATGAAAAAAAAGTCACTTTAAACAGCTACTTCGTGGGAATCTTGAAATGAGTAAAAACTGCTTGAGAAATGAAAGAAGGTAATACAGGGTTATCCTACATGTAATGATGGGAAGATACTTTATGTTGGAGTCTTATAATCTAGACAGACTGTGCTAATATAAGTCAAATATCTAAATAAAGTACCAAGCATTTTCTATGCAAGTTACCCCCCATCTGTTCTACCCAAATCTGAGCTATAAAAAGGAGGAACTTGGGTTTCACTTGTCCCTGAACCTCAAATACAATAGTGTCTCCACTACAAATGTTCTTTAATATTGTTCTTTTTTCAGTAAGAGGAATTTTACTTCCTCAAAGTGAAGACCAAGTGTGGAACACACAAAGTTCAGGTGTTCAGGAAACCTTACCGTCTATTTTGGTAAGTATGTTTCTGTGTTTCATGCCTAGAACCAAGCCCTCAGGCTTCTCTCTTTGGTACACTCACCTGCTTACTTTGGCAACTTGAATTTCCCAAGCTGTTCCTATTTCAAATATTTTCTTACATCATCCTTGGGATGTTACTCATAGTTGTCAGATCACGGGTCCTAAATATTGATTCGGAAAATTTAAACCTTCAGCATGGTTAGTTAAATGAAGTCTACACATTTGGCATTGCCAGACTCCACATGTGGTAGAAAACTTATTTATGGTTCGTATTTATTTGGTGATAATTAAGCTATGAGTGCCACTGTGTTGTTCTTTAAAAGTTAGACAGAAATAGTTTTTATAGCCAAAATTATAAATTCATGTATGTAGGTACAGAGTATAGATTTTTGTCCCAAGGATTGTATTGAAGAAAAAGTTTAGACTCCAAAGCTTACAGAGCAGTGTGTGTATGGAGAGGAGGGAAGGAAGAATGAAACACTGGCTAGCTGACCAATGAGAGACTCTGAGTCAGGCTGCCTTTTTGCCTGGGCAGAAAACATTCCCATTTGCACAGAAACAGCATGGAATGAATTTTCTTTTTCGTTCTTATCACTCAACTGCTCGGGGCTCTCCTCTGTCCCCTTCAAACCTCCACTTGCCACATCACCTCGAGGGAAGCATCCAGTAGAATAGAAAGTGGCTTCCTCAAGTGCAGGTAAAACAACAGCCCCAACAACACTAGAGACTAAACTGTCTACAGTGACTACATTATCTTTTATTATCACACAGACACAGAATGGAGGCTGCCTTAATCCACATTCCCCGCTTCCTTCTACTCCTTGAGGCTTCTTTTCTGTCTCATGGGGCAGAAGATAAATTGTTGATTAATTTGAAATACTTGTTTCTTGGCTTTAATCCAGGAGTGGAAATTTAGAAAGCCTGCCCCAAATTGGCTTAACAATTAATATGTGCAGCCATTACTTCTACTCAGTTATAGAGCAACTCAGTTTTGAAATGTGGAGTCACTGGAAATACTCTTTTCACTAAGTTCCATGTTGGAGAAAGATGGTTAGAGGGGGACTGACCTCAGAGATTACATTCATTTGGTGTTTATTTGTTCATTCACTCAAATATATTTATTTTGTGCTTTTCATGTGCCAACTGCTGAGGAAACTAAGACAAATAAGGTGTGGCCTTGCCTACAAGAAGTTTCCAGTCTGGTTGTGGTAGACAGACCTCTACACAAATAATGTGGTGCTGTCATAGAAGTTCATTCAGGGTGTGGTGGCAAGGAGTGGTGATTCACAGTGAACATGGCACCTCTAGTCTCCGGTCTTCTAATCACATTCTACTCAGGGCCTCTCTAATAACCACAGTATTGTGATGATGTTTTAGAATGATGTTGGATAGACAAGGATTTCTGTATAAGCTGGGTTGCAACCTGGAGACTAGCCATCTGGATCCAGCTAGAGGCGTGTGCTTTGGGGCCAAATTTTTTAAAAAGCCAATATTTAAAAATTAGGAGATTTTTGCATAAAAATGCAGATTTCCAACTTCTTTGGAAAACCAGGAGATCTGGTATCATTAGGTTTACATTTCCCATTGCAAAAAGTGTCTAGAGCTTGGCTGAAAGAGGCCACCCCCTTAATGATGGCAAGCACTGACTAACTGGACTCATTGTCCATTTATGTTGCCTGTTTTGTGGTTCTATTGGCATTTAAGCCAACTCCTTACTTTTTTGAATTTGAGGAGACGTTGGAATGTTAATGAGGGATAATAAGGCATGAAAAAAAAGAATGATTAGTTAGAAGTGTCTGGTTCTTGCTTCTCCCCCATTTCCTCCTCTGTTCTTTAGTGGAAGTGAGATTTTTTTTTTAACCAGATTTGATTTTTAGCAATTATTTTAGAGGTAAGAATGTTGGGATATTGGATTTGACACCTTTTGGCATCCTGATTTGGAAAATCACTTGTTGCAAAGTAAGCTTCCTATAGCACTAGTAAGCTTTTCAGTTGGCATTAGCAGAAGTGAAACTGGCCAAGGTAATATTAAACCTGTTAATATACTATATTGAACTAAAAGAAGAATTCATAAGTTAAATTTGTTACCATGGGAACATCTATTCATATAAAAATAAATGAAGTATTATTCCTGGCATGGATGTGTTCACCTTTTAAGATATATGAGAAAGCTTCATTGCTGTGCCATTGTTTTAGGGGGTACTTGTTTGGAAGATTTGGTCTTCCTTCATTTAAAAATTCATGTTGTTTACTTGCACATTTTATGTTGCTTACTTGTGACTTGACTTATTAAGAATAGAATGTTTTGTTTTAATTTTTATTTAATGAAAAGGAATTCAGCTTATAGATATATTGAAGTCATTCATTTCTTGAGGATTTCTTTTTCATTGAGGATTCAGCTGCTTTCTAATGTGTGTCTGGTCATAGGATCTGTCTGATAAAACTCAGTTTCTTAAGTGTATGTCAAAGGGCTTAAGCCATCTCTCTTGGAAGTCTGAAAAAATGCGCACTTAGAATTTACAAGGATGCAAATATATCTGACTCAACTGGAAGCACGAGTGACTCTAACACATCTCTAGAAGTGGTTTTAAATAAGTAAGAGAAAAACAAGTGAATTCCCTGGTATGGTATGACCTGTCATCATCATAACTGCTATTCTGAGGAGCAGTACTTGGTGTCGAGCAGACGGCCTTCTTACTTTTCACTGAATGTATATATGTAGTTTTAGATAATAGAAAAAAATGAGACAGGAAGAAACTTTTTCTTACATACAGACAGCCTTCATATTCAACATAGCAGACATTTAAATAATAGAAAATGGTCCCGCCTCCTCTCTCTCCTTTGTGTTCAGCTGGGTCTTTTAGATCTGCGCACATACACTAACCTGAATGAGAATAGGCTGCCAAGTCGGCCAGCTCCAGTTTCTCCTCTGGGAATCCTTTTGCCATGTGGGTATATGCACTTGTATATCTCCTTCAATGAGTAGTCTGGTATAGTGGACAGAGCACTGGGATGGTTCCATGAACCTCAGTTCTTTATCTTTAATAGGCAAGGTTGGACTAAATATTCTTAAGAGCCTTTCTAGTTATAAAATTTGATTTGTTTGTTATGTTCACACATATGTGCATGCTCAGCCCTGCTTCCTAAAAGAAGATTTTTATAAACCTAAAGATGGCCTTATAAATCACCCAAGCCTTTGGCAAAACAAAAGCTGGTATTTTTACTTAATTTTTTTTTTTACTTCTACATTCTTGACTTCAATTTATTGTCTTTTCATTTATGTGGAATTGAACTCTTGCTCTCTCCATCTGGTTCATTCTTTTTATTCCTCCCAGCTTTACTGAGATATAATTGACATACAGTGTTGTATAAATTTAAGGTGTACAATATGATGATTTGATACACTTATATATTGTGAAATACTTATCATAGTACAATTAGTTAATACCTCCGTCACTTCACATAATTACCTTTTTTGGGGGCGGGGGGTGATAAGAACATTTAAGATAAACTCTTCGGGCAGCTTTCAAGTATATAACACAGTAAACTATAGTTACCATGTTGTACATTAGATACCCAGAACTTATTCAGCTTGTAACTGCAAGTTTGTACCCTTTGACTGACATCTCTCCATGTCCCCAACCCCAGCCCCTGGAAAACCCCATTCTGCGATTTTTTTATGAGTTTGGCTTTTTCACATTCTACATATAAGTGATATCATGGAGTATTTGTCTTTTTCTTCTGCCTTATTGCACTTTAGTGTTATGCCCTCAAGGTCCATCCACATTGTCACAAAGGGCAGGATTTCTTTTTCATGGCTGAATAATATCCCATTGTATGTATATAGCACATCTTCTTTAGCCATTCATCTGTTGATGGACACTTAGGTTGTTTCCATATCATGGCTATTGTGAATAATGCTGCGGTGAACATGAGAGTGCAAGTATCTGTTTCACTTACTGATTTAACTTCCTCTATCCATATATCCAGAACTGGGATTGCTGGATCATGTGTTAATTCTATTTTTATAAAGGGAGGTAATTAGGTTTATTTATTATTATTGTTATTTATTTAATGGAGATACTGGGGATCAAACCCATGACCTCGTGCATGCTAATCATGTGCTCTTCCACTGAGCTATAGCCTCCCCTCTGTGATAATTCTATTTTTAATTTTTTGAGGAACCTCAGTACTGTTTTCGACAATGGCTATAACTACATTCCCATCAACAGTGCACATGGGTTCTCTTTTCCCCACACCCTTACCAACACTTTTCTCTTGTCTTTTTGAGAATAGCCATTCTAACAGATGTTAGGTGAAACTTTATTGTGGTTTTGATTTGCATTTCCCTGGTGATGTTGGGCATCTTTTCATGTATCTATTGGCAATTTGAAATCTTCTTTGGAAAAATGTTTATTCAGGTTCTTTGCCCATTTTTAAATGTCTTTGGTTGTTTTGTTTTTGCTGCTGAGTTGTGTGAGTACCTGATATATTTTGGTTGTTAACCCCTTATCAAATATATGATTTGTAAATATTTTTTCCTATTCCATCGGTTTCATTTTGTTAATTGTTTTCTTTTGCTGGGCAAACCTTTTTTAGTTTGATGTAGTCTCACTCATTGATTTTTGTTTTTGTTGCTTGTGCTTTTGGTGTCATTTCCAAAAAAACATTTTAAGACCAATGTCAGGGAGCTTTTTCTCTGTGTTTTTTCCTACATAAGATCTTGGGTTTAGGTCTTTAATTCATTTTGAGTTGATTTTTATGTATAGCAGAGGTAGAGGTCCAGTTTCTTTCTTTCTTTCTTTCTTTTTTTGCCTGTAGTTGTCCAATTTTCCCAGTGCCATTTATTGAAGACACTATTCTTTCCCCATTGAGTCTTGGCTCCCTTGTCAAATATTAGTTGACTGTATCTGCTAGAGTGTATTTCTAGGCTCTGGATTCTGTTCCATTTGTCTACGTGTCTATTTTTATGCCAGTACTGATTTAATTACTGTCAATTTGTAATATAGTTGGAAATCAGAAAGTGTGATGCCTCTAGTTTTGTTCTTCTGTCTCAGGATTGCTTTGGCTATTTGGGGTCTTTTGTGGATCCATACAGATTTTAGTATTGTTTGTTCTGTTTCTGTGAGAAATGCCATTGGAATGTTGATAAAGATTGCATTGAATTTATAGATTGCTTTTGACATTTTAACAATATTAATTCTTGCAATCCTTGAGCATGGAATATCTTTCCATTTATTTGTATCTCTTTTTATTTCTTTCATCACTGTCTTATAGTTTTCAGTGAATAGAGTTTTTACCTCCTTGGTTAAATTTATTCCTAGGTATATTACTCTTTTTGTTGAACTTGTAAATGGGATTGTTTTTTATAATTTCTCTTTCAGATAGTTTGCTATTAGTGTATAGAAATACAACTGACTTTTGTATATTGATTTTGTATCCTGCAGCTTTACTGAGCTTGTTTTGGATTAGTTACAATATTTTCTTGTTCCAGTCTTTTGAATTTTTTATATATAAGATTATGTCATCTACAAATAGTGACAACTTTACTTCTTCTTTTCCCATTTTGGTGCCTTTTGTTTCCTTTTCTTGCCTAACTGCTCTGACCAGGACTTTTAGTACTATGCTGATAGGAGTGGTGAGAGCCGGCACCCTGTTCTTGTTCCTGATCGTAGAGGAAAAGTTTTTAACTCTTCACTGTTGAGTATGAGGTTAGCTGTGGACTTGTCATATCTGACCTTTGTTTTATTGAGGTACATTCCCTCTATATCCAGTTTGTTAAGAGTTTTTTTTTTATCATGAAAGGGTATTGTATTTTGTCAAATGCTTCTGCATCTATTGAGATGATTGCATAGTTTTTACCCTTCATTCTTTTGATATGGTGCATCACATTTATTGATTTGTTTATGTTGAGCTATCCTTGCAGAGATAAATCCCATTTGATCATGGTATATTATCCTTCTAATGTGCTGTTAAATTCAGTTTGCTAACATTTTGTTGGAAAATTTTGTATGTATTTTCATCAGGGATATCTGTAGTTTTCTTGTAGTATGCTTGTCCACTGTTGGTATTAGGTAATGCTGGCCTCTTAAAATGAGTTGAGAGTGTTCCCTTCTCTTCAGTTTCTTGGCAGAGTTTGAGAAAGATTAGCATTAATTCTTCCTCAAATGTTTGGAAGAATTCATCAGTAAAACCTTCTGGTCATGGCTTTTCATTGTAGGGAGGTTTTTGATTACTGAGGTCTGTTTAGCTCTTCTGTTGCTTTGTGATTCAGTCTTGGAGCTCTACTTGCTTCCCTTCTCTTTACCTTTTGTGTATCTACTGTAGGTTTTGTCTTTGTGGCTACCATCAGACTTACATGTATTATACACGTAACAGTCTATTTTATGCTCACTACATAACTTTGATGGCAAATGAAAAGTTTACCCTTTTACTCCTTCTCTTTTATGTTTTTGATGTCACAATTGACCTCTTTTTTATTGTATGTTCATTAACAAATTATTGTGGCTATAGTTATTTTTAATACTTTTGTTTTAACCTTTTTACTAGAATTAAGTGGTTAACACACAATATTACACATAATATTACAGTATTTGAATATATACTTACCTTTAGCAGTGTGTTACATATTTTCATATGTTTTCATGGTACTAATTAGTGTCCTTTCATTTTGGTTTGAAGAACTTTTAATATTTCTTGTAAGGCTGGTCTAGTGGTGATGAAATACTCCAGATTTTGTCAGAGAAGATTTTTATCTTGCCTTCATTTCTGAAGGACAGCTTTGCTGGATAAAGTATTCTTGGTTGGCAGGTTTTTTTCTTTCAGCACTTTGAATCTATCATCCCTCTCTCTCCTGGCCTGTTAGGTTCCTGCTGAGAAATCCACTGATAGCATGATGTGGGTTCCCTTGATGTAAGTTACAAACTTCTTTTCTCTTGGTGCTTTTAAGATTCTCTCTTTGTATTTAATTTTGACAGTTTTATTATAATATGTCTTGGAGAAGATCTTTTGAAGTTGAATTTGCTTGGGGTCCAATGAGCTTTGTGAACTTGGATGGTCAAATCTCTCCCTAACCTAGGAATAAACTTAACCAAGGAAGAAAAACAAAACAAAATTAAAAAAAAAAAGCCCCAAAGCTAAATCTCTGTCTTCAGATTTGGAAAGTTCTCAGCCATTATTTCTTTAAATTAGCTTTCTACTCCCTTCTCCTTCTCTTCTCCTTCTGGAACACCAGTGATTCACAGATTGTTTCTTTTGATGGTATCCCATAGTTCATGCTTTCTTCATTCTTTTTCATTCTCTTCTGACTGGACAACTGTCAGAGGTCCTGTCTTCTACTTCACAGATTCTTTCTTCTGCTTGATGTATCCCATTGTTTATGCTCTCTTTTGCATTCTCCATTTCATTTATTGTATTCTTCAGCTCCAGAATTTTTGCTTGGCTCTTTCTGTGTGTGTATGTGTGTGATTTCTATCTCTTTGTTAAATTTATTATTTTGTTTATGTTTTGATTTCTGATTTCATTTAACTGTCTTTCTGGCTTTTTCTTGTAGCTCATTGATCTTCCTTAAAACAGCTATTTTGACTTTGCCAGGTAAATTGTAGACCTTCATGTCTTTGGGGTCAATTCCTGGAAGATTTTTGTGATCCTTTGATGATATCATGTTTCTTTGACATTTCATGTTCCTTAAAGTCTTTTGTTGTATTCACATTTGAAGTAGAAATCATTTCCTCCAATCTTTACTGACTGACTTTAGGAGAGAAATTATCTTCCATCAGCCCTGCTGGGATTCTGAGTTTTTCTCAGCCTCCTCTTGACACACGTTTTTCACACTTCTTGCTGCCTCAAGTGGCAAAGTCCTAAGCTTATATGCCTTCTCTTGATCCTGCAATGCACCAGACAGCTATCTTTTGGCTATTCCAAGGACAATGCAGAAGTTCAAGTTGTGGTCTCTCTCTGGCCTATAGATTCAGGCCAGCTTTCTGTGCCTTCTCACTAATTGTCTGTCAAAGTTCCCTGTCTTTGTCAAAGGGAGTGTGCACAAGGAGCTAACCATGGGGTGGAAGAGGTGTGTGTGGGGGTGCTCAGATGTGTTTTACTTCTATTCCTTTTTTTGACCAAAGCCACATTACCAAAAATATTTACTAGTATTGTACTATCCACTTTTCATCACTTCCCTCTTTACTTTCTAAATTAGAATGTATCCTCTACTGAGGAGTTTTTATAAGTACCATATCTAGGTTCCACCCTCAGACCAGTTAAGTTAGAATCTCTGGGGTGTGGGGCCCAGGCATTGGTGTTGTTAAAAAGCTTGCATGTGATTTTAATGCTATTTAGAGTAGAGAATGATTGCTCTTTTGTATTTCCCTTTTTCAGTTTTTAGAAATATTTTATGAATTCCTTCTTTGCATATGACACTTCTTATTTTTTGTTATTCAACATAGATTGGAATATATAAACTCCTGTCCATGTCATGGCCAGTTTTACCTATTAACGTCATCACTAAACTTTTTAACACAGACTAATCTCATTGTAGGATTAAAGAGTTAGCATGTTCAAGGATAGTGTTTCTGTCTACTTTTCTATTCCTGAAGCTACATTTTAAGATATGACTAGTACTATGTTATTAAAAAGTCACTGGAAAAAGAAAATTGTATTTTGTAAGTGTGATGCAATTCACAGATGTTGCTATTTGTTTGAGGTAATGAGACCACATTTTGATGTGGTGCCATTTCTTATCAAAATAAAAGACCTTGATCAAATCATTATCTTTCAGAATGATGAATAAAATCACGAAATGTTCTTCCTGTTGTGGGCAATGTGCTTAGGTCTTTGACAACAAATAATAGATATTAGTAACTTCTGTGTGTTTGAAGTATTTAAGCTAATAAAATAGAGGGAAAAGAACTATCTAAAGCAAAAGAAACAGCGTCTTCTCCCATAAACTCACTTTTTTTTTTGGTGGTCTTTTGAATATGTTATCTCATCTATTCCCACTTTCCAGGTAAGATTCAAGAGATACATGATTTTTCTCTAGATTTTCCAACTAGTAAGTGGTTGAATTGGGATTTAATTCTAGATCTGTTTGGTTCTAGAGCCCTATCTCCCTCTCCTTCCCCAATATTACATTGCCTTTTGTCCCTAGAAAATCTGGGAATGTAGAAGGATAGGTGGTGTTTGAAATTATTTTTATGTGTTTCTTTTATCTGTGATATGATTCAGCCTCTTTTTGCCCCTCCAGGATAATACCCCTCAAGCTGAATGGCCCTCAGCAGATGAATCCACCACGAGCAGTATTTCACCACTTGATTTCAGCTCTGGTCCTCCTTCAACCACTGGCAGGGAACTCTGGTCAGAAAGCCCTTTGGGTGATTTAGTGTCTACACCCAAATTAGCCTTTCCCTCGAAGGTGAGCCTCAGTTCTTCCCCAGAGGTTTTAGACGTTAGCAGCTTGACTCTTCATTCTGTCACCCCAGCAGTGCTTCACACTGGCTTGCCTATGGCTTCTGAAGAAAGGACTTCTGGATCTCACCCATTAGAAGATGGTAAAGAATTTTAATCACTTTTCATACTTCCTTATTGTATCAGATGAGAAGAGTTTTGAAGAGAGCGGGAGACTGGGGTCAGTTAGAAAGCATGATAGCATTCATTAGGAGGACACATCTCGGGAATGTTGTGTGAGAAAGGGAACAGTCAGCTTTACTTGGTTGGAGCGGAGAGTCCAAATAGGTAAATAATAAGAAATGAACTTGTGGGCTCAAGTGATTTCATCAAATAGATATTTTGAAGGTCCTATTAAAGAATGTATCACTTAATTATATTACTATTTAAGAACTGCTTTACTTACTTGAATATTTGAGTGGTAAACAAACAGCCTCAAAGAAGATTATTCCATTATCTTTTAATAGGATTAACTGGGGGCAAGTACATAGAGATTTTTCGCTGGCATTAGGCTTGAGAAGGGAAGAATCTAAACTAGAGCAGCTACAGCAGAGATTACAGAAGTCAAGCAGATGATTCAGCTGATATGGAGGAAAGGGACAATCAGTGTGACTCAGGGATGGAGTATACACGTGAAAGAGGAAGATGAACAAAGATATAAATAGTGAGTCCAGGAGTTTGAACATTGGGTGAACCTGAAGGATGATGGACAACAAACAGCAAGAAACTGAGAATTCAGAGACCAACAAAATTTCCTAGGGAATTTTCTTCCTGGGTTTTTACTAGATTCAGTCTTTGTGTGAATATGGTTACCAGCATTTCTTGATTTTCATGGAATAAAAAAAAAATCGTGTTTGAAGATTAATTATTTCAAAGCCTGATGTCTATTTATCCTCAGGGAAGGGAGTTATAATCATGAATGATTGTACCGCATCACAAAAATATAATCATGCCTTCTTGTTGTTTACTGGATATAGCAAAGCAAAAGTTGGCAACTGTCCTTTGTAATCTAGTGGGAAAAAACAGGTGGTTGGTTTCATTAGTAAGACTTGGAATGTATTTTGGCATCTTTGTGAATTAATTAATGGAAAACTCTATTTTTAGGATTAACTAAAGTTGAAGGATCAGAAGATTTTCTTTCTATTGATCCATTGCCTTCAAGTTCATTCACTCATCCTGTGCCACAAGAAACAATACCATCCATGGAAGACTCTGGGGTGTCTTTGACACCCTCACCATATCCAGTCTCCTCTGTCACATTAGATCTTCTTGCTAAAGAAATAACTACGCCTTTTGGCTTGGAGTCTTTGACCTCCAAAGTCAAAGGCCAATTAGAAATGAGCTCTTGGGTGCCACACATACCTATGGAAAAAGAGTTCATATTTGAGAGTGGTTTAGGTTCAGGGTCTGGGCAAAAGGTGAGTCTGATTACTTGGCCATGGAGTGAGACTTCATTAGAGAAGAGCACGGAATCATTGTCTGAGTCATGGCTTGAAGTTGAAGATTCAGAGGATTCACTTTTGTCAGCTGAGGATATAGGTGAGAAACTAGTTATAGATGACAAAAAAGATGCCACAGATCAAAGTATTGAGCATTCAAAATATGGGTATTTTGATAGATCCACAAACTTTGCAGAGGAAGAGCCCCTTGGTGGACCTACTGTGCCCATCTTTGCAGAGATCGCAACTCAATCTGCATCTCTAATTCTATCCAAGCACACATCAGAGGTACCTGACATTGATTATTACTCAGTTACCAAATCACCTCCTCTGCTGACATCTATAGCAATCTCTGCTTCTCCTTATAAACCAGATCAGGTAGAACCTGTTCTAAAGGAGGACATGGAACAAAGTACAGAGTCATCCAGCCAGGACTGGTTTGACAGCAAAACTTCAGCAGTGAAGCCAGATTTGCAACCTTTGTGGACCATATTGCCAGAATCAGATGTAGTCTGGGCAAGAACTTCTTCCCTAGGGAAATTGTCCAGAGACACACTGGCAAGTACGCTGCAGAGTACTGACAAGCTCTGGTTGAAAGCTTCCATGACACAATCTACCAGATTGCCTCCAACCACAAGCTCCACCCTGCTGGAGGATGAAGTAATTATGGGCGTACAGGATATTTCACTGGAACTGGACCAGATAGGCACAGATTACTATCAGCCTGAGCTAATCCCAGAGGAAAATGGCAAGGTTGGTAGTTATGTGGAAATGTCTCCAGATATTCACTCCACAGAGTCGGCTATTGTGGCTCAGGCCACAAAAAGCGATGACTTGATTTATACCCAAACCACAGGACCTTTGGTGGTATTCTTCAGCCTCAGAGTGACTAACATGATGTTTTCAGAAGATCTGTTTAATAAAAACTCTTTGGAGTATAAAGCGCTGGAGCAAAGATTCTTAGAACTGGTAAGCATAAGAAATGAGACATGGGCGTTAGTGAATAATTGTATATGAACCACTCCTCTTTCCCTCAGCACGTAAGATCTGAGTCAAGGGAAGTGTGGTCTGCTGTGGATTTTCATTTCCTATCATCATATGGATAATGTAATAGCTAAGGGTTGGTAGCAAAACAATAAGACAGGTGGATAAAGAAATGGAAAACACAAATGTGGCATGAGGGTGATGTGACAATTTAGATACTGGAGATTGTATTCTGTGATTTCTGGGACTGAAACAAGTTTAAGATTTCTTTTCACATTTTATTGAGAAACCTATGTTTTGTGGATCTCACAATATAACGCCTATAATGCCTGCACTGTTGCAACCCTTAGGTAAACAGAGAGAATAAACTCACTGGTGTATAAAACTGTCCAGAATTTCCGTGGGGTTCCTAAATGGCATTGAAAATCTGATGACTCTCAAACAACTCACCATCCATAGTTTTCTGGGCGAACAATTTAAATAATATATATAGAATACAATTTAGAAAAGTAGAGGGGTTCATCCTTGTTTATTTGTTTATGGTAGGTATTGAAAAAAATGCAAAACCTTGTCAATAAACTGACCACTTTTCATGTCTTGTAGCTGGTTCCCTATCTCCAGTCAAATCTCACTGGGTTCCAGAATTTAGAAATCCTGAACTTCCGAAATGGCAGTATTGTGGTAAACAGCCGAATGAAGTTCGCCAAGTTTGTCCTTCCCAATGTCACCAATGCTGTATACGTGATTCTGGAAGACTTTTGCACCACTGCCTACCAAACCATGAACTTGGCTATTGACAAGTACTCCCTTGATGTAGAATCAGGTAATGATATTGAATATCGGTGATATTGAAAATTGAATACTGGTGGTTTCTTAGTGGAGTCTAGTTATTATTCTTGTGTATTTTCTTCTACACTGAGTCAAGCTGAATTTAATACTTACAGGTAAAAGAGTACCATGTCAGGAAAATTTTCCACATCTTGATAATTAGTGAAATAACTCTACCAAGGACATCAATATAATTCTCTTTTCAAATGGGTTGTTACTTGTTTCTTTTTCTTGTTTACTTTCCATTCCTTTTTCACCTGCTCTACCTGGCTCTCTTTTACTTATCCACAGGATCTGTTGTTGCTGCATCTCTGTGTGGCCAAGCCAGTTGATTTGGGCTCTCTTCCTTTCTGTGTTATTTTCCCAAGTTGTTTTTATCTGTTTCCATTATTGTAAGTCGAATGTAAATGTCAGTAACTCTCTACATTTTTAATGTGCAGATCAGACTTACCTTCTGAGCTCCAGAATCAGTATCTTCCTATGTACTTGATGATCTCAACTTGGAGATGTCCTGTGTATATCAAGCTTAAGATGTCTAAGAGCGACCTCTTGTTTTCCGTATCTCCCTAGCTTCCAACTAAACCCACATAAAGCCTTTGCACGTACTGTCTTCTTTGCCTGAAACTCTTTCTCCTCCTGGCTGACTTTGCTTATCCTTCATGCCTCAGTTCAAATGTCTCTTCCTCAAGATGTTCACTGACTCATCCATAGTCAAGGTTGTTTCTTTTCCCTCTGTAATGTTTATAACTATTATGATAATGCTAATTTATGCACGTAGTTGCTTCATAGCTATTTCCCCCAGTTGCACTGTCCACAAGGACTGAGACTGTGTCTGTTTTTATTAACCACTTTGTAGCCAAAACCTAGCGTAGTGTCTTGCATACAGAAGGCACTCAGAAATACTATGACTGAATGAAACAAACTGTTGTTTTTATTTAGAAGACTTGGATGCAGAGAATACTGTTGGATACTCAGACTGTTCTTTTTTACCTTCTACATACCAGAAGACAGTAGTTTTGAATAGGAGTAAGGTAGAATGTCTGGATTTGTATTTCTCCAGTGCCTTTTACTCTCAAACTGGTTTGGAAGACAGCCCTATTCTTTAACTGGGAAAGAAGCAAACATTCTTTCCTTTGAAATCCTTGAAGGACCATTATTCATTGAAAGTGAAGAAAATGATTTAGCTAATCCCCCAACATCCAGATCTCTTGCCACTTGAGTTCTTTAAGGATGTTTGCGTATTCTTTGCCATGTGGTGCAGTGGAAGAAGGAATTAATTATAATTTGGAAGACCTGGTTTCATGCCTCTGCTCTGCCATTTATCATTTGTGTGATCCTGGATGAGCTGTTTTATCTCTGAGCCTTACTCCCTCATATATTAAATGGGAATAGAATGACCTGGCGTATGTATTTCATGGGGCTGTTCAAAGGATTAAACAAATAACGTATATAAAAGCATTTGACTAGCCATGGAAATGCAAGCAGTGAAGATTTATAAAACTTTTGCAAAAGTCAGTCCACTTCTTTTTAAAGGGAATTACGTGAATAAATGTATTTATCTCAATTTCGCATGTAACTCACATGTCAGCTGGATGCCAAGTCATCCAGGTTTATAGGATCAATTTTTTCCTTAACATTCAAGTGAACTGGCATTTGTCTTTCCCACTTGCAGTGTAAAACCTAGATCCATGGCCCTCTGACCCCTAGTATCTGTAGGAATTATCAGGGAACTTAACTATCTCTTAATCATCTCCAGCCCTGAGCTCCTGCAGCTGAATTTCCAATCTCACATTTGTCCTCACCCTTGTGATTGTTCTTTATGTTAATCATACACAGGTCACAGTCCCATTTTTTATTTTCCCAAAGCACCTCTAGTACAGGGCAGTTGATTCTATCAGACATTTGCTGGTAATATGAGCATGATGGAGGAGTTTTTATTATAGCACAGCAGATGGCTTTAAAATGGTACTGTTAGTGGGTAAATATCCAAAAATTTTTCAGCCACCCTTTCAAAAGTGTTTTTTTAATGGCCAACTTTTTCTCCAGGAGAAAGCTAGCTACCATGCTACTCTGGCTATTCTGGCTGTCTCTCCAAACCCTCTTCCTATTTCCTCCGCTCTCATTTTCCCTGGCCCATCACTCCTTCTCTTAGCCTGCCCCTGGAAAACAAGAACGTAATTCATTCTGTAGGTTAGATCCCTGTCTCCTATCCCAAGCTTAACGCCAAGTCTACCTTTGTTTTCCTATAAAGTCATGAAGGTACTCTTCCAAACAGAGGACTCTCTGTTCTGGGCCTCCACCTTTAACCTGCACTAAGGACTGGAAAGAGACTTTAAAACAGCAGTCTTTTATTTACATGATTAAAATATTGGCCTTGGTCTCTTCTTTGGTCTGGAAGCAAAAGGGAGTAGCATTTATCTTTTTTTGCCTATTATAGATTCTATTTCCCTTTCCCCAGACACTCACCCACACCCACAGAATGATCACAGAGTTTTAGAATTTTTAAATAGAATTTTCCTACTACATGTATATTTTTAGTTAAAAGTCTTCAGACTAAAATATTATTTTATCTCAAGATTGGCTAAAGATAAGATTGACTTGGCTCTTGCCTGATTTGTTTCCACATGTAGTGTCTCAGAAATTCTTGAACGTCCATCAACAAAGGGGGACCATGTGAGACCATCCTTCCCACCCCCTATAAACATTTCTATCCTTCACTGCTAGGCCAGGATTGGATTGTTTTCTGATTACAGAGTCACAAAATGAATATGAGGATCAAGATATAAAGACTTAGGAAATACACAGTGGAATCCTGCTGTGTAGTTCTCCTGTAGAACTGCCATCTGTCAGCACATCTGTGTGCTCTTCTTATACAAGCATCTTATTATTGGTCCCTTGTATTAGTTTGCTAGGGCTTCCATAACAAAGGACCACAACTGCGTGGTTTATAACAACAGAAATTTATTCTCACATTGTTTTGGAGGCCAGGAATCCAAATCAAGGTGTTGGCAGGGCCATGCACCCTGGAAAAGCTCAAGAATCCTTCCTTGCCTCGTCCTAGCTTCTGGAGTTCGCCAGTGATCTTTGACATTCCTTTGCTTATCGATGCATCACTGTGGTCTCTGCTTCTGTCTTTATGTGGTCTTCTTTCCTATGTGTCTATGCCTCTGTATCCGAATTTCCCTCTTCTCATAAGGACATCAAATATTGGACTATGGGCCCAACCTAATCCAGTATGACCTCGACTTGATTACATTTACAAAGATCCTATTTCCAAATAAGGTCGTGTTCTGAGGTTCCGGTTGGACATGAATTTTGGGAAGTCACTATTCACCCCAGGACACCCCCTACTCCTACACAGGGCCAAGAAAGAACAGCTGTAGAGACCCTCTAAACTCTGAGGCTACAGATTTGTGCAAAATGTCTTTACTCTCCAGAGTGGCAAGGAAATCACTGATTCTGAAAGCAGGATTAATTTATCTGGACACTGAGGGGCTCTGCTCCTTGTTTTTTAACCTCCTCTTAGTCTTCTAAATAAACCTTATGCTCTTCCATATAAATGAGTTTATGGGTCATTTACACTTGTTTCCTCTGTTTGTGGTATTTATTTCACCATTTGCCTGTTTGTAGTTCACAGGTTGCCATTCACCAGTGGAGAACTAACAATGGAACCATGGTAGGACGGGAGACCCATCCATGGTCAATGTCTTACATTATTTTTGACTGGTTTTTGTCCCAATTAATTTTTTTCTTTTTAAGCCTTTAATTTTTTAATTTTTTAATTCTTATTTTTATTGAAGTGTAGTTGACTTACAATGTCAGTTTCATGTGTACAGCAAACGCGATTCAGTTATGTCCATATATATATTATTCTTTTCCATTACAGCTTATTGTAAGAAATTGAATATAGTTCCCTGTGCTATGTCATTTTCTCTCATCCTATCAATGAAAATTGGTATTACTGAGTCCAAAATATTGCTGAGAATGGCCTGAGGAGGTACAGGGCTGATTTATTTTTCTAACATTGGCTTTCACAAATCTTGAGAGTTCTTAGGCTGCTCTTACTGGGCTATATCCATCCCCGAAGCTTCCACCAGTTCTCTGGGTTCTGTCTCCCCATTTCCTGTTCCCCATGGCGGGTAGGGCATGCAGCATCATGTGTAGAGTGGAGGAGGACTATAGAAGGAAAGGGTTGGTAGAAATGAATGGTACATGAAAACTGTTTAATTTAGATCTACAATTACGTGGATTTTAAAGCTTCTACATGTTCCCTACATAAAACAGGTAGAGGCTCACCTAGGACACTGGGTTTTATGATTTGCCTCTAGGTTTCAGAGAAATTTGATAAAAGCTCATCAATGAAGGATGAGTCAGAAATTTTTTTGTGGTATGGGTAGTGATGTATTTCAATGATTCATGAAGGGGGTTGTCCCATGGTACTTTGGATGGGAGAGCCTTCGTAGAGGGGCTTCATGTACCCCAGTTTTTGTATTTTGCCTTTTGTTGTATCATTCTCCTGTTCGTTTGTTGTTGTAGGTGATCAAGCCAACCCTTGCAAGTTTCAAGCCTGCAATGAATTTTCTGAGTGTTTGGTCAACCCCTGGAGTGGAGAAGCAGAATGCAGATGCTACCCTGGGTACCTGAGTGTGGAAGAACTGCCCTGTCAGAGTCTCTGTGATCTACAGCCTGACTTCTGCTTGAATGATGGGAAGTGTGACATTATGCCTGGACATGGGGCCATTTGTAGGTATGTTGTAGTTAAAGGTTTGGCTTCACAAGGTTACAGATACTTCCTCTGAAGAAAAGGGGTCTGCACTTATGATATTAGGATAATCACAATATTTATTATAGAGGTTATATCTAGATAATACATGTGTGCCATCTAGTTCTCGTGTGAAGACTGAGTCAATTAATAGACCCGAACTATACCCAGTTCAATGGGTTATTTTATCTTATGCTTTTAGGGAGCTGTAAGAAGAACATTGTCTAGTGTCCTATAGGGAGGATGGAGAGCAGTCGGAGGTCTTGTGTTTGCTAGTGGTGATGATAAAGCAGTTGGTGCTCAAATTAGGTTCAAGCATAAGAACACTTTACACTGTGTCTGAAACGGAATTTTATTATTCTTTTGGGGTTATGTTCTTAATGGATTTGGGCTGCTCTTAGTCCTACTGAGTATTCAAAAATAAAGAAAAGCAAGTATTTAAAGTTGTGGCAAGTTTATTTTATGTATCTAGGATCCATTTTTTAGTGATAGAACCAAAGAAAATGCAGCAGGCAGATGACCAGATTTAGGTAGCTTTCCCTGCCTACTCCCCTTAAACAGAGCAGAGCAAATCAACCTCCCAACCACACCCAAAGTCACATGCTGTAGAGGGAGAGAATGCTGAGAATAAGCAGGGGAAACATAAATAAGAGGACAATTTGTGAATGTCAAAAAGGGCAAGCATTAGCACTGATGCCCAAAATAGAGGAAACAGGTGGAAATGATTCAGACTTTTCTACATGTAAAGGTATAAAGTTTAGCTAGAAAACTACTGGGAAAAATAGTCTCTCAATTTCCAAAGAAATTAAGATTATTTTGAAAAGCAGTGATTGCTGCTCTGGGACTTGAAGATGTTTTTGCACCGGTCTGTGGCCGTGGGGTCTGGGGGATCTCTGCCATGCAGTGAAAAGGACATGAGGAGTCTGGAGACGTGGCTTCCAGAGCAGCTCTGTGGCTGACTAATTGTGTGACCTAACACCAGTCATTTTCCTTCCTGGGCCTGTTTTTCATTATCTATAAATAAGGAAGTACTTTCTTTAAGTCTAGTCAGTCTTTTATTCAGACTTTACAGGTAGTCACTGAGGACCTCCACTGTGGATATCAGGCATTATACACAGCTTTAAATCTTATCATTTAACCTGTATACTCACATTTTTACTGAGGCTTCATGTGGTATGCATTTATTTTTCTCTCTTTCCCTAGTCCCACTGAAGATTCTGCTGTTTTTCAAATTAATTAATAATTAATTTTATTGAAGTATAGTCGGTTTAGAATGTGTCAATTTCTGGTGTGCAGCATAATGTTTCAGTCATACAAATACATATATTCATTTTAACATTCTTTTTCAATATAGGTTACTACAAGACAGTGAATATAATTCCCTGTGCTATACAGAAGAAATTTGTTTTTTTTAAACATCTATTTTATATATAGTAGTTAGTATCTGCAAATCTCAAACTCCCAATTTATCCCTTCCTACCCTCTTCTCCCCGGTAACCATAAGTTTGTTTTCTGTGTCTGTGGGTCTGTTTCTGTTTTGTAGATAAATTCACTAGTGTCTTCTTTCTGCTATTAATTGTTACTGTCAGCAGAGTGCTTGTGGTTGGGACTTGGTTACCTGTCATTCCAGGTGCCGGGTGGGTGAGAACTGGTGGTACCGCGGGGAGCACTGTGAAGAGTTTGTGTCTGAGCCCCTGGTGATAGGCATCACCATCGCCTCCATGGCTGGACTCCTCCTCCTTTCTTCTGTGGTCGTCTTCTTCATCATCAGGACTCTTCAAGCTCAACATGCTAGGAGAGACAGGGAAGGGCCCTTCAGGTAACTAAGGAGAATGTCCTTCTGTTCATTCATTTTGTGCTTACTTTGTGCCAAATACTGGACAAAGATCTGGGTGGAGGGGAGAGAACATATAGTTGAGTAAAAACATGGTCCCTGTCCTCAGAGGGTGTCAAATTGGAAGCAAACATAAGCGACAGCATGGATAAGATGCTAAGATGCCTAGGTAAGGGGTGATTTTTTTTTTGTCTATGGGAGGGTGTCTTAGAAGTTTTAATGATGGTTGTGATATTTAGCTGGACAGAAGAGTGGATGTTTGCTGCAGCGGGTGGGTGGGAAACTTTCTAGCTAGTTGAATGAGCATGAGCACCGTCAGGAAGGCATGCAGGAATCTCCCTGCACACATTGAGTGGGGCCAGAATGCCTGTTTCATGGTGGGGGAGGGGTTGGAAGGGTGACAGAGTTGAAGTGAAGACCAAATCTGTTAGTATGTTCCCGTTGGCTCATTCCAGTGGTAATGAGCCAGATTTTGAATCTAGGTAAGAACTTGGCAAGAAGTAGAATCTGGTTCTCTTTTTAGTTAAGTGTAGCTTCACTAAGCTTGTTCTTGCTAGACTCGCCATGCAAGGACCTTTGGGGTTGTGTTGTGATGACAATCCCTGGTCGTACTTCACTTCTGTGATTCTAGAGTCCAAGAGTGCTTCTGCTGTAGGTCTAGATGACCTTCCCTTACCCTCCGGCTTGGCTGAGGAGGCACCTCTCCTAGGTTCCTTGGAACACCCAGGACATCATTCTATTATTATACTTTTTGTTGGGTCTTACTTGGTATTTGACTGTAATCTTATGCTGGAGAGGGATTCCAACAAATTCTTTGTATCATTTGCATCTAGAACAGTCCTAGGCACATAATCAAAGCTCAGTAAATATTTGTAGACCTGAATTGAACTTAGTTGAAGCACATTCCCCCTGTATTTATATTTCTATTAGAATTTTTGTGTGGTTACACATTGATTTTTTTATTTGTCTCCTCTGGGAATGATGGAGCTATATTCATTTAATGACCTACTAAATATTGCCAGGCCTGTTTCTCCATCAGTATTTATTGAGTATTAGGTACTGGGGGGCAAATAAAGATGAATGAGACATGGAATAATTCCCCAGGACACTTGCCATATAGTTGAGGAGATAATAATGATAACACCTGATAAATAAATTTTGAGCTTGATCTGGATATTTTTCACGGACCCTTCCCCCAGCCCCCTTTCCCACCCCATTTGTATCCAGAAATCTTGCTCCAAGTAAGTAGTCTTCCAAGTAGCTGAGCATCCAAAGAAGATGCTTGTCAATTACACTTTTCTTCTTGTGGCTCCAGCAGGCAGCCTGACAGCCTCTCATCCGTGGAAAGTGGCGTGAAGCACAACCCCGTGTTTGAAAGTCACGAGGCTGGACTCGAGCAGTATGAGGGACCCTACCCTCTGCGTCCCTTCTATAGCTCTGCAGGCAGAGAGATGATTGGTGGTCTGAGCAGGGAAGAAATCAGACAAATGTATGAGAGCAGTGAGCTTTCCAGGGAGGTAGGAAACTTGGCTTTTCTGTTACTGCTCTGCTGCTGTGTATGTCGTGTGTGTGTGTGTGTGTGTGTGTGCGCGCGCGCATGTGTGTGTGTTCATGCACATACATGGGCTTCAAGAAAGGCTGAAAATTACTTTGTGATTAGTTTTTTACCTTATGGCGTCTCCCAGGCAATGTGGTATGTAGCAAGTATATAATTCTGAGCTCTACCTTATTCCCCACCTGCTGGTTCCTTTTATCCTTATTAGCAAGTCCCTCCTCCTCCCTTTCCTCCTTAGAAACCCTTACCTGCGTTACTGTTACTCAGAGCAGTTCAGGTAGTGGCCACACCCTCTATTTTTCTGAAATGGCCACTGTTTTTCTATTGCTCTCCCCTGGATAGCCTCAAAGGCCACCATTACTTACAAAAATTAGAACTCTTTTTAAAAAGGCCATTGAAGTTTTTCTTCTGCAAAGCCTCTTTTCCTCTTCTTTCTTTTTTTAAAGGAAATTGAAGAAAGAATGAGAATTTTGGAACTGTATGCCAGGGATCCTGAGTTTGCAGCTTTTGTGAGAGAACATCAAATGTAAGTGTTTGAAACAGCGCCCTCACCCAGATTCTGAGGGGGCTTCCCTTAGAGTAGTGCCTCAGGCGTGAACACGTAACTCCTGTCCACGTGACATGGCTTTTCCGTCATGACCAGTGTTTGCTGGGTTCTTTACAGTTCATACACTTCCTCACAGGTTACCTCATTTATTCCTCCCCACACCTTTGGAAGGTGAATGTTTCTTTTTTATGTTTTATGAATGAGGAAAGGAACCCTCAAAGCGATGGAAGGACCTACTAAGATCATGATGACAGCAAATGCCAGAGAAGATCGAAAACTAAGACACTCTGTGCTCCGGCCCAGGGCTTCCTGGGCTCTGTCCTATTTTCTCTTTTTTTGAGGGGGGAGGGGAGGTAATTAGGTTTACTTAATTATTTTATTATTATTATTATTTAGTGGAAGTACTGGGGATTGAACCCAGGACCTCGTGCATGCTAAGCACGCCCTCTACCACTGAGCTATACCTGCCCCCGTCATATTCTCTCTGATTTCTGTAGGTGTCACCCATCTGAGTAGCCATAAATCGTCACATATTTTAACATATCCTTCCTTTTCCATCTTTGTGGATACTTTTAAGTATACTTTGACCGACACACATCTCATTACAGTGTATCTCTTCCTCAGTCAAGTTCATCTTACTTTTCATTTTTTTTCCGTTGCTTTTTCAGCATGCATTTTGGGCAAGTGTCTGTAGTTTTTTTTCCTTTGTTCCTCAGAATCCATAACCAGATATACATTATAAAAATAAACTATCTTGTAAAGAGACCATTCATGGACGTTAATTGAGTGTAGTGGGTGGGGTTATAATTTGGCTTTGATATTTTGTCTCTCAGCTGCCTTCACAAAGGTCCTTCCTTACGGACGGGTCTCACCCAGCACAGATATCAGCACCTGGCTTTTAGAAGAGAAAAACCAGAGCAATTCAAGCCTACTTACAGAAGAAATGGATAAAGGGTCAGGATAACCCATGTGGTTCTGATTGGAGCCTCTGCTCCTTTGCTCCAAATCCCTTTTGTCTGATAGGCAGCCCCTCACCCATGGTTCCTCTGATAGGAAGGGACGAATTGACACCTAGGGAAACTAAGGAAGGTGCTTTTCTAAATCTGTGTACGTGGTGGAGACTCCTTTGAAAAAAATCTCTAAGCATCTGATTTGGTCCAGGGAAGGTGCTGCCAACCTTGCTGAATGCTTTCAGAGCAGTATTACTGGGATCCTGCCTTTTAGACCAGGATACCCACTCATCCCTCTATCTCTAGTCCACAGGTGGCCTGTGGCTCAACTTCAGCGGTATCCAATAGAAAGAACGTGACTGATGGTTTTATCTTTCCTACGACCCTGTATGAGCCCTTCAGAGCCATCTGCATTTCCTGACTTAAAAATGCATCTCATCTAGATTAAGAAGTACAAAGAGAGGATCCAGAAAAGCCTAATTAGGAACAGATTGACCCCATGCTTCAGTTTCCTCGGGTAAACTATCTAGCATTAAAATATTCCCCCAAAAATCCATATAAAAAAGAAGATTTAAGCAAGAAGATCCAGTGAAACAAAAGAATGTTCACATAGACACTAAAACTTTAAGGGAGTTGTTCATAAAGGGAAGATGGCATTGAAAAGATTGTTAGGTACAGAATCCATAAATTTTCAGTTTGCACTTAGTCTCAGAGTTTTTAATCTACCAATAGCCTAAGAAAATATTAATGAACTTTAGGATTCAGTAAAAGCATTACATGGTCTTGGTAGAGTGGATTCTTTTTTTTTTTAACTTAGCAAAGCACAGGATAGCTTTCCTGAAAAGAAAGAAAATAGAAAATATTGGTGATTTTTAGGAACACAGCATGGCTATATATTACACCAAAAATACATTTCAGTACATTCTGGCTTTTTTCAATTAATTGCTATTTCTTTCTTTCTTTCTTTCTTCTTCTTTTTTTAATGGCAGGGAAGAGCTTTAACCAAAAGTCCTATTTTGCAACGGACTAGAAGCCTAGAGAAGATGGAATCACTCTTTACCTGTCATGTAATTAGCCTGGATTCCGAACTCTGTTGGAAGAAGAGTTTTCTATTAAAAAAAGTTAAACTGGGGGCACAATTTATTTTTCTAGTTTAAAATTTCAGAATGCAGTAAGAGATGTGACAAGTTTTAAGCCTACAAAGACCAGAAGTTGTATTGAAAGGAATTCAAAACTGTATGAATTCTAGAAAGGATTCTGTAAGGAAAAAGCCAGGCCTGGGAGTTGGGTTGCATTTGCTGTCTGCTTCTGAGCCTCTGAGGGTGTCTCTTAGTAACTAATGATGCCTCGGGCTTCCCCGCAGGAAGGTCAGGTGAGACTATTACGGAGGAAGGTAGGCTTAGTAACTGAGTCTGTAGTAGCAAGTTTGCTGTTGTCAGGTGGAATGAGAAGACTTTGAAGTAGTTTTAATATAGTTTATGGCCAAACATTCATCTAACTAAATACTAAGGTTTGGGGGGGAATCAAACTGCTAAAGAAAAAGCAACCTTTTTGCTGCAGTATAGATTTAGACCTGTACTTTGTGCTCCTACCAGAATTTTAAATTTCCTGAGCCTATTAATCAAGACCACATTATTATGTTAATTATGTTAATATCCTGGTCCCCCCGCCATCAAGGACCATACATATCATAAAGGTTAGAGGCTTCTTGTTAGAGTAAAGATGAATTGAACCACAAGGACAGGGAAGGAGTGGGTATCGGGTCAAGACCACAGCGCTGAGAATATACTTTGCTGATTGATGCATGGACTGAGTCTGAACCAGTGGGTTCCCTGACTCTGTTTCTGAAACCTAAAGGTGTCCTGGGCAAATCTGGGATCTTCTGTAGTTTCTCGTGTATTAATTTCAAAAGCAGCACTTGACTTCCCCGTATAGTGTAGGTTAGTTTGTTTGCATTGCTTCTTTGTGTAATAACTGTGTCTCAGTTCATTCCTGCTTACATGAAACATAGCAGGACTTTTATTGCAATTAAAATTTTAAAAAAAGTTTTATAGGTAGGAAAAGTCCACATCTTATGTAAATTTTAACTGAAAAATAGAAGTTTTCCTCTTTCCTAATACTTTTTGAATGGTAGCTTTGGAGCGGGCAGGGAGAGGGTCCAGTCATTATCACCATCCGTCTTGTGTACGCAAATAGGTTATTGTTGATACAGGTGTTTCATGTTAGATATCTTCATGTTAGTCAAAAACGGTCTTAAACATTTTGATTTCTTTGTGACCAGATGTAACTGACCAGGGGTAGGTTGGCCATAAGATAAAATACCTGGTTCACTTTTTTTTCCCCTCAACTTGATGACTGCCAATTTCACTCAGTATGAAGACACCAGAAACTAAATCTCTGGGGTGAGTACATGCCACAGTAAAGCTACGGAAAGCCTTGAAGATATCCAGGTATTTTGCAAAGTATGTATGGGTAACAGGTCTTGTGAGTGTGTGTTTTTGTAGGTAGGTAATTCCCTTATCTCAGTAATTTCTTTCATTCCCTCCCCTAATAATAGATTCTCTATAAATTCAACATAGATACAAGCCACTGCTGGGACATTTTCTACTGGGTGAATTTGAAAGGGAATTGATAATTATCTTTAAAGCATTTTAAATGTTAATGACACTTATCACTACTTAATGTTTAATTTAATATTTCTAAAACTTTCTAAGATTTCTGTTGAAGATTCTAAATTTTTTTCCCGAAACCTACTCGTGTTAGGTGAAAAAAAATGTTTTTGTTTTTTTTTTATCGTAAATTAACCCTAGAAGGCAACCTTTTGAACGTCTGCTTGCTGGGGGAGTTCAGATGGATGTGAAGTGGGTGAAGCACAGGTCACCACGTGGAACACTTAAGAGAAGCACAAACTCAGCTGAAGGAGGATTGTTTTCTAAGCAGTGAAGTGGGAGTTTGAGAATTCGGATTCGTCTCTGTCTCTGATTTCCATTTGTATGAACTTTTCATGCAAGAGCTAATCGTGGGTCTCCATGAATGTCTGTTTCACATCGTTTAAAAGGAGGGGATTCCTAAACTCTCAAGGAGAGAACTGAGGGCCTCAGTTCAGGAATAAAGACTTCGGCCCTTCCTTTGTTATAAGTGAACCACAGTGAGAAACATCAGAGAATGAAGTTTCCACGATGAGGATCCACTGATGGACACATCTAAAGAGCTAAAAGAGCTATCCGTCTGACAGGACAAACTACCCCGAAAGAGCTTCTTTTTAAAGGAGCTTTTCCCAAGGTAATTTAATGGCATATAGTCATTTAAAAGTATTAAGCTAAGCTCTCATTTGGGCTGTGTGATTGAGGAATGAAATGTTCTGATTATTAGGATGTTCTTATTAATCTAGCAGTATAGTATTTAATACAACTATCACCTTATTTAAAAATAATTAAATGCAGTTAACAGTAAAAGTGCATGATAAAGAACTCAAACTTTTTTGGGGTGATTTGTAAGGTGCTTTGGAGTCTTGTAGATACAGCCTTTATAACTGAATGTCCCTACATGATTCTTATTTTCATGGGTTCTGGATAAAAGGGAGTTTATTTGATAAGTAGGACTCCATTTGCACCATAGCAGTGTTTTAAGGCTATTTGTTCATATTTATGTGCTCCAAAGTCCCGTTTCCTTTATGTAATAAAACAAGTGCAGGTTTTACCTGATTTTATTCCCACCACTTTGTTTTTTTCTTCTGTAGTATCTGTTCATGGGTTGGCTGCTCCCCTCCCCAACCCTTCCTGTTTTTTAACACATGGTAAAAGTGTAACGGAGTCAAAAAACCCTGACTTAATATTACTTCTGACAAAAAGATGAAAATTGGAGAAATATTCTTTATAAGCTCTAAAACCATTTTGGCTCAGATATGATACCTGATGTAGTTACTCATTTGCATGCATGTTTCGTAAGTTTGCCTTCTTCCATCTCATGACTTTTTGGCACCTAGTATCTCTGTGTCATTTCCATGTTTTCAATAATGGATACTTTGACGTCGATCAGCCTGTGAATTGAATTTTCACTTTCAAATGGGAAAACAAGTTAACATATCTAGTCCATAAAGAAACAACTGATTTAGGAGAATAACTTATCTTTATTAAATTGAGATATTTTAGCCAAGAAAAATATGGGTCATTTTTTTTTCCCCGAAAACATTTCTAACAATTCCCAGTAGAGATGGGTGGGGGCCAGTCTTTCTTATTGACCATCCAGCTGTAGTGAGTCATGAATCCTAGCTCATTCTACTCCCGAGGGTGCAATGAATGCAGAAAAATGGTGTGAAGGTCATAGTCCTCAAATCAATTGCATTGTGTTCCACAGACAATCCTGGCTCAAGGTGGAATGTGGGAGGGTACTAGAAAGTAATTGGTGATGTAAAGAATCTGCCTAGAAATTTGCTTGAGTCATGAATTTTATAGAACCTTACACTATGCCTATGGGTTAACAAGACACACTTGTTAAAATCACTCCCCTCAGTAATAAGACACAGGTTAAAACACTCCCCTCAGCCACACAATTTATAGCTACAGCCTATTTTAAATGATTCCTTATCCTGTCTTTTTCTTCACTTATATTTAATTGCTTGTTTAGTGATTAAGGGCATAAGTAGGAAAAATGTAACCATGATATCAGAGAATAAAGATATAATTATGTATTCAGACTATGTAATGATTCTGAAGTGATCATATACATACTATATGTTCAGTATGGAGTATGGGTATTGAAGGATTTTTCTTTTTCATCTTGTTTGTAATGACATTGTACATAAAGCATGGGTCAGATAAGTTCAGGTTACTGCACTGTTTTCTTGAAATTTTCTTAAGACTAGCTAATTAGAAATAAAAAGTTTTGTCTTTATGTATATAAAAGGGTTTTCCCTCATGCATATAATTGTGCCATCCATTTTCATTATTAATAAACTTCTCTTTCAAGAACCTCCCTACATTTTTTTTTATCAATTAGAAAAAAAACACTGTAGATCATAGGAGTAGTTCTGTGTAATTACCACTAAAAGATACACACAGTGTGAGCCTGATGTGGAATGATAATGATTCTTTGATTAATCTCTGTAGTGAGGAGACAAATCCAGAGCCCATTTGTTGCTGCAAATTTTGTGGACAGTTAATGATGCTGAGTTATTAGTTGGCCTCTCATGAACTTTATTCTTTCAAAGTCTTAGAAACTTTCATTCCCCCCTGCCATCTGCTGAAGGCAGGGATGGAAGGAAAACTGATAGAGCTGATTAAAGGAAGATTAGGAGTGGGTAGCTGATATCAGCTGTCAAGAGAAGGGATTGGTGACCTGTCTAAAAGAGAACAAGAAGGCACATCCATGGTGTAACAGCAGTCTAAAGAAATTTTGCATGGGAAGGCGAGCAACCACTCACCTAAACATTGGCACAGAAACCTCAATTTTGTTTTTTCTTTCCTACATTTGCATGATGTCTTGCTAGCAGGAGGGCTTGAGAAAGTCCTAAATCAGTCTTAGGAAAGAGGAGGGTGGTTCTGATTTGATTCCAAAGACTGTATTATAAAAACATGAAGTGGGAGAAATGTGTCTAATAAATACCTGTTGATTGCTTAGTGACCTAGATTTAGAAGAAACAGTGAATAATAATCCTGTTTTTAAAAAATTTTATTAATTTTTTGTTGATGTATAGTCAGTTACAATTTCTAGTGTATACTTTCTTTTTCATTAAAGGTTATTATAAGATATTGAATATAGTTCCCTGCTATACAGAAGAAATTTGTTTTTTTATCTATTGTTAATATATAGTGGTTAAAATTTACAAATCTCAAACTCCCAAATTTATCCCTTCCCACCCCC